TTGTCCAAGTCATGTCCATATATTCACTGAAAATTTCGGAGCCTCCCGGCGTCTCCCCCGTTTAGGGGAAACTACGGGAAACTGGGCCATCCCACCATGCTACTCGAGCGTGTATGGTAGGTGTCGAGAGGACACTGGGCCGTACATTTTTTCATCCCACCACGCTACTCGAGTGTGTATGAGGTCTTCAACAGTATCCGTAGGAGAGCACATGTAGATCTCCCCACCACGCTACAAGAGCGTGTATAGGGCTTTCCCATTTCGTCGTATGCGTCGCAGCGGGCTCCCTCCTACCATGCTACGAGAGCGCGTATAGGTGGTTCGCCGGTCCGCAGCAAACAGCACCGAAATGGAATATGAGTTTTAGGTGATTTACCCATCTCGTCGAGTATCGCACCGAGCTCCCTCCCACCGTGCTACGAGACCGAGTATAGGTGGTTCTCCGATCCGCCACAAACGACGAGAATGGGAAATATGAGTTTTAGAAGTTATACCTTTGGGGTCGGCGACGATGGAATGAGATGCACAAAACACTACAAATTTCTCTTCTTTTTTTTTTTTTTTTTTAAGCTCCACTCTTCTTTTTTTTTTTGAAACTTTTCTTTTTCTTCTTTTCTTTTCTTTTGCTTTTCTTCTTTCTTTTTTTTGTTGCTTTCTCTCTCTTTTCTTTTTACACACACATATATACATAGGTAAACTCAACAATTAACAATAATAAAGTAATTAAATAGCACTATTGACGGATTAACAAAAATTGATTAAAACCATTACAACAGTTGGTTTTGATAACTACATCAATAAATAATAATACTAATAAAGTAAGAGTAGAGTAAAAAATACTAAAAGAAAGTAATTAACTCCACTGTATGGACCTTTGTCAAAGAGATTTACTTGAGACCTTAAGTGGGGACTTTGGGCTTGGAATGAATACAGAAAAGAAGAAAAAGATTAGTGGTGTGGGCTGATTTGAAGGTAGTTTAGTATGGGTTCTAGACTAGTTTTGATGGGTATATGGGCTATTTGTATGTTGGAGATGGGGCCTTTTGCAAATGAACTCCAATTTAATAGATGATGATTGCTGTAGGTTGATTTGGAGTTAATGGGCTGCTATATGAATTAATAAGTGTAGGAAACGACTGCAGTTTTTGGGCTGTTGGAATGGAGGAAGAATACAAATTATTTTAAGCTTAGGTGGACTACTAATAGAGTGGATTTGGGCCTAGAAAATGGATATGTGCAAAGATCAAACTAGGACCCGCTATAAAAAGAAAAGTTTGCAAAGTGCAGTATTACAGCAATATGATCCCTAAATTGAAAATCAATCCCGCTTAAAACTTTAAGTCATTCATCACATTACTGGATTCATTTGACTTGGCTCTGACTTAAACTCTAAATTAAGTAGGCCATAAATCAGTCACTGACTTGTCTCTTAGTAAACATGTAAATGAAGAAATAATCAGAAAATATCAGAAGATATAAAGATTGCTCGGAGACTAATCCTTCTTTGCTGTAAAACATTGCTTTTCACGTGGGTGCCAGGATTCCTTTTCTCTTTACCTTGAATCAAGGAGAAAGTGGAGAGGATTTGAAGCAGTTTAGAGTTGGATCCCACGGTTTTATTGAGAAGTCAGTGGAGGTTTTGGATGCAGGTTTCAGCAAAATTTGTGTGCTGAGAAGGATTCGTGGAGAGCAAACCAGCGAACTCTTGGCTTGATCGGGACTGTGGTAAGTTGGGAAATCCCTTTTGCAGCTGCTTGGGAGGAGTTAAGGCGACGGACTGAGCTCGTAGTGAGGAGAAGAACAGGAATCCGGTAGTAAGGTGAAGCTGGTGGATTTGCGGGATTGGAGTTGTGGACGGATGCTAGACAAAGCTGCTAGTGGAGTTTCTGGCTAGTTAATGGTGGTGAGGAGTTCGGCAAAGCTGTGGGGAGGAAATGTGAGTGGAAGAGTTAGGTAAGGCTGTAGGAGTTATGGAAGAGGCAGGGAGATTTTCCGCTTGGAAGACAGCTAGAAGAAGAACGAAATAACTTCGTTCAGTTCTATTTTTGCGATAAATCTGTCTGTTCAAGGTCATATGAGACAGAGAGGCAGAATAACAAATTAGGTAATGATTTTAATTGGATTTTAATCATTTCCCTATTTGGTTTCTGTCCATTTTCTAAAATTTATAAGTCAACTGCTATATTCATGACATGTTATTATGCATTAATTAGAAATGGCAGAACTCCATTAATCAAATCAAAATCGTCTCAATTTGCGTACTATTTTCTCGATTTGCGTGCTGAGTACTCCGTTTTACGTGTCGATTTCGGCGAATATCGAAATTGGATAAATTGATAATGAATTTAGGGTATTGCCAATGTTCTGGTCGCAACGACGCAGTCCGTTTCGCGATCGGACGTCGTTTGAGCAACTCCGAGGCTAATTTTTGCATTGGACCGCCTCGATTAGCGTGCACAACCTCAATTTAATAAATTGGTAGTGCATTTAGGGTATTTTCGGTGTTTTGAACACAACGACGCAGTCCATTTCACGATCGGGCGTCATTTGAGCATATCGATGGTAATTCTTGCATCTGCCCACCTCGATTTGTGTGCACAACTTAAATTATACAAATTGGTAGTGCATTTAGGATATTATCGATATTCCGAATACAACGACGCAGTCCATTTCACGATCGGGCGTCATTTGAGCATACCGATGGTAATTCTTGCATGTGCCCACTTCGATTTGCGTGCACAATCTAAATTATACAAATTGGTAGTGCATTTAGGGTATTGACGATGTTCCGGACACAACGAAGAAGTCTGTTGGTCAATCCGGCATCATTTGATTAGCCTCGCGCTTTAATTTTAGATGTCGGTCATCCCTTTTGGCCCTGATCTCGTACGATTTGATTGCAAGGAGCCTTGACCTAGCCGAATTCGATGCCCTGATCGCAACGGCGCCATCTATTTGGCAATCAGAGATCGTTTGATCCTTCAAGTGACACGTGGCGCCAAGACGCGTATCACTTTACTCACCAGTTTGGTCCTTACGCACGTGGTTTGAGGTATGGGGGTCAACAATAATGCTTGTCCAAAAATGTTAGGTTCAGATAATGGTCTCTAAATATCACAATGAATGAAAGAAAAAGAAATAAAGGTTCTTAGGTCATTCACCCATTAAAAACTATTATGTTTGTATTTTGCTATTGAAAATGTCCAATGCACACTAAGGGAGAGTGAATTGATGTCTTTAAAAAATTAAAGATTACAACATAAGTTTTTATAAATTAAAACACAAAAATATGATTCATCTTCCTTTTATTTCAAAATAACTTTAACACAATAGAGAAAAAAATAAAAATATATTTTTTTAATTTATAATAAAAAACAAGTTTCCACAATGTTCAAAATATTTTTGTTAGGTTTTGATAAGATCAACAATGATTGAAACAAAACAAAGCAAATAATAAGAATGCAAAAAGTTAAAATAAAGAGAAATAAAAAGAAAGTACAAACTAGATTTTTATAGTAATTCGATGAACTTGATCTACGTTCACTCCCCAATATCCTCTCCTTAGGAATTTTTCTCTCTCGCTCCTGCTCCCAGCAAGGCCAAGAAGCCCTTCTCCTTCATAGGGTAATGGAGAAAACCATTTACACCCCTTCTCAACCAAAAAGCCTCCAACTCTCTCCTTCTACACCCAGCACGATGGAGATGCCTCCAACTTCCAAGCCTCCTCAGCTAGACCCAAAGTCTCTTACACCAAGACACTTTAGAGCACTTTTTAAAGAGCTTCTTACAATAACTTAAAGGAATAACCATATAGACAGAGAAAAACAAACTTGTGAACTTTCTCACAAAGGTCTCTTAGACACTTCTAAAAAATCTCTCACATGTTCTCTCCAGTATCACTCTCCCACTCTTCTCTCAAACTATTGCACGAACACAAAGAAAGTTCTCTAAAACAAGAACTTCCTCCCTCAAAAGCTCTTTCTGAAAATGTGTAAAAAGTCCTAATAGAAATCCTAAGGTTAGCATTTTATATGAGGCCTCCAAAATAAACACTAAAAATATTGATTTGTAAATTGTTGGCTTTATCATACAGTAAGTTCCATTGATCATACAATACGATTAGTTCATTCAACCTAAAATCTTAAAAATTATTCTCTATATGATCGACCTATTCGATATAAATCATACAATACAAATAGTTCAAGTTTTCAATTCAGCATTGGATCATCCCGTCAAAATGAAGATCATTCGAACAAGCTCTCTACTTGTTTGGACTATATGATAGAGATTGTATAATATGAAGTTATCTCTGATTCAACTCCTTAATTTCAAGACATAAAATAGTTAAAAATCTATTACGATATTAGAATTCATAAAATACGAATGAGTCTGTATAGTATGATTAGTTCAAATTTAAATTTACCTACTTTTGAAAATAACATATTTGTTATTTTAATTTTAAATAACTAATTATCCAATATGATAATTATCATACTGTACAATTAATTAGAAAATTTTTTATTTTTAAGTTTATATTAATTAATAAACAATCAGTGTATTAGTAAAATTGAAGTTATAGAGACTTTAAAGAAAATGAAGGGTGGAAAAGCTGTTGGACCTGATGATATTCCAATAGAGATGCGGAAATGCTTAGGAAATGCTTAGGAAATGAAAGAATTTCTTGGCTGACTAAACTTTTCAATACTATTTTGAAAACTAAAAAGATGGTAGATGAGTGGAGAACAAGTTTGTTAATTCATATTTTTAAGAATAAA